CGAAATTTATTTTATTTACTTACTTCAGATTTAGCAGATAGGTCGTTGTTCATTATGGAAGGCTTTTCAGTACTATGTACGCTTGAAACACCATCAGTTACCTAAGTAGATAAGTTAAGGGCAACATATTGAAGAACACGATCGATGATGTTACTTACTTCGGATTGGGGGAGGCAAGGTCCGTTTGTCGTTTGCCTTTTGTAGCCCTCGCAGCAAACTCGTTGCAATTGCGTTGTCGTAATTCGCTTTTATCAATGGGAAAATAATTACTATTATATTATAGTAATTATTATCATTTTTATTAATTACCGAAACTCCATTAGGAGCAAAAATTCATCATGTGGTGACAAAATGATGTGAAATAAGAAATAAGCTATATAGCACAATGCGTAAAGTATTTAGATTAAATATGCCTTCACTGTTACGTAGAATTAATTTCAATGAAAATTTTGACGCGAGTTACCTCTGGATATACTCAAAGTTCCTTAGTCAATCAGCATATCAATAGTGATGCTGGGAATTAAACAGGTATTGTTGTAGTCCATTGGACTACAGTTAGCTTTAAGGATTATCCAAAACAGCAATAATAATAGATTCTGTGTCCTGCCCATGGTCAGAGCCCTAAGGATTTCGACTTCAGTACGATCCCAAACGTCTAGCCGCGCTTACAAAACGCAACTAATTAAACGCAAATTGGTCACAAATGCAAACTTTTATTCATTTATTTAACATAAGTTCCCTGAAACGCTTATCATTGAAAGAGCATAGCGGAAGTAAAACTTTGATATTATTTTTAAAAACAAATAATTGTACATTATTTTTATAACTTGTAATTTTAGTGAAACACGTTTTTTATTGTTTTTATTTATTTTGTATGCCAAATTATAAACAAAAATGATTAAAATTTTTTCCATAGAAATAATAAGTAAGACGAAGTCTCAAATTCCTCAATGTATGGCGATAAGCGTGCTGCGTTCCGCAAAAAAACTTTTATCGAATAAGTAAGACAATAATATATATATAAGTTTGAACCAAGTAAAACATTAGTGGGGAGTGCCTATTTAAGAACAGAGTAAATCCGGCATCGTTAATAATTTTGGGTAGCTTGTGTAACGTTGAAAAAATATAATCAACCCGTTTATTTGGAATTTTTTGTGAGATTTGTATAATGGAATTTCTACGAATAAAAAACGATGGGTCCTCGCTATTTCCAATTATCGTTATAGTTATAAATATTGCACATTAATATAAATTGTAAAATATATATAATTGTATATGTGTTTAACTCACATAGTTTTAGTTGTGCTTGCTCTCGCTTGTCATTATACTATCATACTTAGTCATAAGGCTAATCATTCTTTTAGTAGTGATTTATAATTTCATTTGTGAAATATAATCCATAGGCTATGATATATTCTTATAGTTTATTTGAAGAGCAGATCAATGGGTGATTTTAGCTCTTCTACTGAAAAACTCCTATTATATGCACACGTACATATGAACTGGGCTATTGTACTCCAATTGTTCTCTTCAACTCAACTCTCAGCTGTTCAGACAGCTCTGCTGATAAACACTCTCGCTACTGTCATGCCCGCCTTGCAGTCATCTCTCTCACACACAAGATCCGTACTCTCGGAATCAAATCCAAACTGTTCTCTTCAGCACTCTGAGCTGTCGAATTTATAGTTCTTGCCGTGCAGTAATCTCACTCGCATGCGGGCTTAAAAGCTTGAACTCTAACGGTGGCTGTCGATAATTGCCACGCTCAGCAGCAATGGTCAACAGCTGAGAGAGTCAACCTCGGATAGTTTTGAGACAACTTTTATTTTTTAATAAGCATAGAATTTTTGTTGTTTTATTATTTGTAAGAATATCAATTATATCTAATAATCCAACAGAAATGCCATGAGAATAAATGTAAAAAAGTCACAGCTGCGAATTAGTTTTGAGCTCATCGACCTGGCCATTGGCACAATTGGCTTGTCTTCTATTGATGCTGCTGTGGAGCACTGTTCGGGGTCTTCAGTGGTTGTAGGCACAGGTTGGCAGCCCTCTCCGGGTATAGCAGAAGGCTCGTAGCCATCGCAGCAGACTTCGCGTGGCTCCAATTTGACTTTTTCCTGGTTATATGTGAAGATATATCAATATATTATATATTTATTCTTATATATATATAAGTATATCTCCATTATATATGTACTTACAACCGTGCGTATTTCGCCTAGCACATTTAGGCTCTTCAGAATGTTGGCAAACTCGCCATAGTTGTCCAGGTTAACGCGTTCCGTTACTGTGTACTGCACTTCGACATTTTTGATGCACAAATGGGGATCTTCTGTGGAAGTTGCCAGATGTGCGTAAGCACTCAGCATGGCAAGTAGAAGTGCCCAAATTTTGCACATGATTAATTCAGAGCGTATAAATCTAAACTAATACATTGTTTGAAGTTCAGCGAGCAGCTGTGCCCAAATCTTTTATTCGTTCACGAATCAAGAAGAGTATATTTGTTTAACGGAATGCTGGCAGAACCCTAGCGATTTCAGCTAAACATTTGAAATCTGAATCTTGAACTCATATATTCTTTCGGCTCTTAAACTGTTTAAGTGTGGAAAATCGGGAAGTATTAAAGAGTATTTACGATGCTATTAATTTTAGACACTTTGAACTTGAAATTTATATTTATAGAGATTCGCTAAAAATGTAAATAGCTTACCCTAAAATATATCATGAACAGTCTTGCAGATAGAGCAGCTAGAAAACAATTTAGCAAATGGATAAATAAGATAAATAATAAATTACGCAGCAGATTTATTGAATACTCATAATATAATAATGTAATCTATATTTTTGGAATGATAATTTAATGTGTATAAATCCCAATATACTTTGAACACTATTTGTTCCACAAAAATGTCATATGATATAATAAATATATAAAAGACTCTTTAGGGGCGCACATAACTAAGCAACTTTACAGTTAATCAATTTAAAGCGTTAAATCTAATTTGCGTATAAAATTATAAATTATATGGCTCGCTCACTGGCGAGTATAATACAGCCGGTCCCACTTACTTACACTTGTTTATTTATTTATTTTTTTTTTAATATATAACATTTGATATTCCACACCCCATATCTTGTATGTAAAAGGAACTGACTCATGAGCCACTTCTGTTCATATAAACGATATAATACTGCCTAATATGGTACATATTAATCTGTAACTATATTTGTATATATTATATTCATTATATATATAGCATAAGTTTTTATTTATTTTATATTATATATATTTCTGGCCTACATTCTCGATCTCTACAAACCTATAAAAAATATAATGACAAAATTTCTTTCACTCATATTACATAATATTTAGCTCATATCTTTAATTGTATAAGAAGTTTCGCGGTCGATAAGTTCATTGCCAGCTGCTTATTGTTTTTCTCGCAAAGCCGTTATCTTTCGGTATGAGAAGACGCAATATATAAGCAGTACAATAGCTGCTAAGATCAGTGTAAGTCCAATTGAGTAGATAAACAAGTCGGTCGAACTCTTGCTCATTGGGGCATTTTCAGTGCTGTCGGTTGAACTTTCAATAGAACTTGTTGTGTAAATCACTGATGTGGCCGAATCTGCTTGGCAGGTTCCATCGTAGTCCTCGACGTATGTCGAGGTCTAACATCAGAAGACTCGAATAGTTCACTATCTGTGCTTAAGACTTCGAGCTTTGAACCTTTAATGCTTAGTCTTATGAAGTGCTCTGCAAAGCTGCCGTACTCCTCCATAGGTGTCTCCTCCGTTATTGTATAGCTCACTATGTTGTGCACTGTGCACGAACTAGATTCGGTTGAAGTCCCTAAGTCGTCCTTTGTAGTTTAAAGCACCGCCTGGGTCACCAGACTAAATAATAATATTACTTTAAGCTTCCACATTCTGAAGTGGAAACGTTACTCCGTGATGCTCAACAATCACTTGCAATCAAACATATTTAAGGAGAAATGGGAACTATTACAGGCCAAGCAGAGATGGGCACATGGTTGGACATGCGGTGCTACTATCCCTTCTAATAATGCAGTTTCTACTTTTTATCATCCTGTTACCTCAAATCAGAACTTCAACTCATATCAGATTCTCAGTTTTAGACGGGACGATGGTTTCAGGCAAGATACTGGCCCCAGATAAATACCAATAGACATTCTAACATTCTTATTTCTTTGTGTACAACTTATTATGGTATTGTATATGTTTATGGGTTGCATATTTAGGGGCTTTGGGTCTTAATACTGATCATCATATATATGTGGTATATATTAAAGCTTTAGCATACTTTTACCGTTTCACACGTAGAAACTTTACGTAAAGTTTGAGTCTCAGTTCAGCTTTGTCTGGCGTACAGTTGTAACATAAATAAAAGCTTTTCGGAGTTTCTCAGAAGCTCTAAGCTCTTGGCGCTCTTGAAAGCTTTTATTTTTACATTAACAATTTATAATTTTACTATGTTGTGTTGAAAAAATGCATTTGCCAAAAATGGGCACACACGTAGAAATAAACTCAAAATATAGAAAAAATCGAAATTTCACAAAACATTTTGTAAGATTTAAAGTATTTAAGTTGTAGTTAAATATTTATATTTATCAAAATAATCATATTATATGTATATATT